AGCTCTACAGTAGGTTCTGGTTTTTGTATTAACCTGGGCTCTATACATTTTAGTTAATTTAAAACACATAACATCTTCTTGAAAAGCAGTAGTTGTAATAACATAAGAAAATCCTGATTCTTATCCCTCTATGCATTTCTAGTCTGATTTCAGCCTAAACAGAAATTACAAGGAGGTGGCTGTTAGCAGATGAGGATTTTGCCACTTCTACAGAAGTCCAGCAGGCTAAACATTATTCCTGCTTTCTTAGCAGCAGATTAGCATTGCTATAGAGAATAGAGCCTGGGCACAACAGAGCACTCTTCTGCAGAGTACTGGTTTGCATGGTGCTGTTCTGCATGGTGCTGCAAACCCTTTTTACAGAGGAAGTGACACATGCTTGTACAGTGGAGATAATGGCTGTTAGACACAGGATGACAATGCTGTGTGTTCCGTGTTTGAAAAAGCAGAGCTGAGCCACAGGAACAGTAGTCAGGTCGGAAATTTGATTTCTCCAGTAAGTGACTTGCTCAATTGATCACTTATATACGGGGGAAAACAACAGGTTTGTTTTTTGTTTGTCCAGAAAAGACTTGAATTCATTTCTTTGTTTCTCTAAGTTGCAGTGAAACATTGTCAGTTTTGTTCAAAGTGACAACATGAAACAGCATTCATTTCCAGCATTGCTAGAATGCTTTTCCTGATGCTGCTGCAATGTTGTTGCCTTTTTCCTTGCCCGAGTGGCATTTCACTATAAATGCCCTGATGCAGAAAATCTGTTCTGACAAGACACCACTTTCTACAGCAAAACCTGTATTCAGAAGGCTTGACCAATTTTCCTGATTGTGAACATGAATAATATTTCATAGTTGTTAGCATTTTCTGGAAAAAAAATGCTAGGTTTAGTGCCTAATTAATATTTCCTGAAGGTTCTTTTACCAGAGTTCAGGCATAGGATCAAACAAAGCGCGATCTGATGAGCAGTCTGCACAATCCATTTTCCCATCCTCTCTGGATTTTGAAAACCTGAGGTAAAATGTGTGGGAAAGCTCTAATTCAAAGTCGCTTGGTTTTATGGTTGAGTTGTGAAACATTTTAAACAAGGTGTGACTATTAGTCATGTATCATGTATTGTGTCTGTATAAACACCTGCCCCAGAGAGTCCAAAGCAGTTTGGTACAGGGATCAGTATCCAAGAGTTCTCCAGTTCTGCATTTGAAACTCATGAGAATGGTTGAAATAAGGTAGGAATTATTGTTTTCCTTAGTGTCACTGTGTTGACACTATCTTTGTTTTGTCACTCTCAGCTGAACAAAAACTTGGAAGAAACACTGTGAAATCATAGCAACATTTGGAAGTCACACAGTAACCATTTGTTACATTAATTAAATAAGGTTCCAGCATATTTTCTTGCAAAGTGATTATGTCAGATCTACATAAGACACTGGCTTTCATCAATGTTCATGTATTCAATTCGGGGTTTCCTTTTAGGTTCTACTTCTACTTCTGGAAGCCCAGGAAGTTTCTAGCAACTATTGTTGCTGAAATAATTGAGTAATCCAGATTCCAAAAACATGACAATACATTGTCAAGGGCATGTTTTGCTTGTGCTTGTAAAATTCAAGTGAACACAAATGACACTGCAGAAAACTAAGCAGAAACTGATTTACAGCCACTTCAATCATAGAGCTTTTCCTTCATCTCTACCTTACATTTCAGTAACCTCTGTATTTACTAAGATCAAGGCATGAATTGAAAGGGTTTGGAGGAGATGATGATGGAGGAATATTACTTTCAAGTTTCTTTCTGAACTATATTCCTGTAATTCCTAGTCACTGGTCTAACAGAAGTCGTGTTGTAAAACAAGTGTAGACATATTTTGTCCATGCCAGTTACTAATGGGCCTTAATTTTCTTTGAGTTGAGGCATGTCAGAAGAGGGGAGCCTGTAAGGCAGACTTGGGAAACAAAAAGGGAAGGGTTTACAGCACAGTATCCCAATCCTGTGATCTCTGAATGGAGATCTTTCAAACCATGTTTGAAATCCTCGGCACTTGGAAGAGCTAAATTCAAGGGCGTGGTTCCAACAAGGAATTAAGTGGCTCAGCTGGAAAGAACCTACAGAGGTCTTTCAGCCCACCTGCCACACCACTTCCTTCCGAGTGAATTTGTTCTTCATTCTAGAAGACTGGAAATGTCTATCTTGGTATTTCTGGCTGCAACAAATGATGTCTCAGTTAGTTTACTCGGAGCAAGGAAAGCAGATAACAGATTCACAATGTAATTTTTGGAAACTTAAAAGAAAGCAAGAAGGGAGGGAGGAAAATACTGAAAACAGAAAATTCAGCTTCTAATGATCTTTGCTTTCATCTGCCAGTAATCTTGGAAGAGCGCTCAGCTTAAAGAGTTCTGGACAGCTGGGATAAAAATTAGAACTCACTCCATCGTTAAAAATGTGGTGGTTACTGTTGCGTACAAACACTAGCAATCAGCAAAATCTGTTCATTGTTTGAATGCTGATCTTTCCTCTTAGTCTTTTTTCTTTTGTGAACGTGCATTCTTGTTATTGCAAAGCTTTGAGATCAGCTTCATGTGGCTGCTAGCACCTCTGCTCCTTAGCTACTCATAGAGAAGGACATCAGAAATCTACTTCTGAGGGCTGTGCATTCAAATAGGGTTTTACTGAGTAAAAATAATGCTATTTTGGGGAGAACTCAAAACCACAGAAGTGCAAGGGAGGAAATACAATGGATGTGAGGGGGGTTTTCTTGTTTTGGTTTTCTGCTTGTTTGTTTTTTGGGAGGTTGGTATTTATTTCACAAGAAACTACAATAAGATCTACCCCCATTTCAAACCTATTCAGGGAAAACCTGCGGAGGGGAAACTCTGGGTTTGGGGCTGTCTAAACACCAGACTTCTTTATATCTTCTTCAGCAGGGGAGGGAGCGGGGACAAATATGTAGGTGCAGAATCCCAAATTTTCAACAGTCAGAACACTAGGTTAGCATTTCCTACTAGTTTTCTAATAAATACCTTTGAAAGAAAACTAGCTTTCATTGAGAACTGTCAGAGGTCTTGCTGAATAATTAGTGGAGATAGCTAAGAATGAAAATAATGGAAGATAACAATGAATACAGTTTTTCATCTCCATGCGACCAGTTGAAAGTTGAATCACCTGGGAAGTTTCACAAAGGTCTTCAATTGCAATTGGTTTTAATAGAAGAGCCTTGGGCAAATAAAATCCCTGGGTGTGTTAGCCTTGTGGAATTCATCTTTCAATGGCTAAGTGAGGCCAGCGTCCAAGAGGGCTACAGTGATTAAGTGGTGACATAAATGGTGATATAGTGACTGCAGGGAAAGGTTCTTTGATAATCAGTTTAATCCTTCTACTCCCAATAGTTCATTTTGCTTCATTACTGAGTTTTAACAATTGCAGGTCTACACCTCTCAAAAATTATAGTGCAGTCTGATTGAAAAGAGAGTATATGTGTTGAGATACTGATGAGTTAGAATAGAAGACTTGGAAAACAGTGATGGATTTTTGATCCTATAAATATGAATTGCATGTAGTTGACATTAAGGGGACTACCGTTTCTGTGGGATGAAAGTGGTCCCTCTACCTCCGGTCATATCAGTTTTGTATGAAAGATTTTTCAGTCATTCTGCTATGAAATGAATTGATCTAGGGTGAGTGTGGCTTGTATTTTTCATGAAAAATTCATCAAGCAATTACCAGAAAAAGTAAGAGCTGTGAGAGGTACATATTAGCTGCAGGCAGTATGTACCAGCAGCTGCAAAATTACATCATGTATTATTAAATATCTTGCTTTTTAGAAGCAGATTGGTTTTGTTACTAGGGTCAATTTCATTAGCAGTATTTCATAGCCCTTTTGATCAAAAATTGCTTTTTGTTATGGTAATGAATGGTATCCAGCATTGGCATGAATTGCATGTTTCCTTTCAAACACTGCATACACTAATGAGATGCACCAGTGCTGGGGAGTTCTCTGTGATTGCAGTTTGCTCCGCAAACACGTTTTACCTAAAGAAAGAGAAATTGCCGAGAAAATTATTCTTCTGATGAGAAATGGGACCACTAGAGCTTCTCTGAGCAACATCTCTGAGCTTTGATGGAGTAACATAATAACAGAAGTATTTGTTCTTGCCATACCTCTCTGCTTTGCAGTGAAGGGAAAAACCAGCAGCACAAATGTTCCCTTGTTTGTAAGAAATGGTCTGAAGCTATGACCACTGGACCAGAGCACTGCTCAAGTCAGTTCAGGACGTGCATCTTTGCAGACTCCTTGTAGAACTGCCTATGGTGGTAGAATTTTGCCTCGTGCATTGATAGTTAACTATTATTACGTTTAAGCTAAAACATGTATTTAGTTTGCCTTAAGAATGTAAAAAAAAAAAAAATCCTCAACAAAATCTCATACCGACTTGCACCTGCGGGAAGGCGGCAGGCCAACAGCCAGAACTAAGCACAATGCAGATGGAATTTTTTAAGCCCTAGATCTCTGTAAAGGGCTGATCTGAGGAATTTTCCCCAGCTGAAGGCAGCAGGTCTGCCTGCACAAGGCCACACTCTGGGCAATTGCTGTAGGGTAGGAAAGGTGTACCGTGCATAGAGGTCTCCCTAGGACAAGATGTGTATCATCTGAATGGGACTTACATACACCTGCATAGACCCAATACAACAAAAAAGTGACACCTTTTGTTGAGAAATGATGGGTGGTTTTGTGAAAAGTAAATGCTCACAGCAAAATGGAAGGGAAGGAGAAAGAGGCTGTCCTCTTGCATGCCTCTAGGTAAGCTCTAGGGTAAAACAAACTTGCTTTGCCTTTGTGCTGGACTGCCTCTGAAGGTTTGCAACTAACAATCACTGTGTTGGAGTAGTTTAGACCTGTCACTTAGAAAATGTCTTGTTCTCTGACATTCCCCTGCATTGTGAATGAGTCTGTTGTGGTGCTGTCCTCCTCCTGTACAAAATCATGAACTAATACTTTGTTTTTCTTGTAGGAGCAGTCAAGGTTTTATGCACATGAAACTGACGAAAACCAAAGAAAAATACATCCTGGGTCAGAATAGCCCTCCCTTCGACAGTGTTCCTGAAGTCATCCATTACTACACTACAAAAAAGCTTCCTATCAAAGGAGCAGAACACTTGTCACTGCTCTACCCTGTGGCTGTGCGGACCCTCTAATATCCTAGTCTCACCCCTTCCTGTGGATGGGAGGTGAGAGGTAAGCAGGGTTGCACTAAATCCATTGTTGGAATCCAGCGCTCAAGTCTATGATGCAGAGCAACTGCCTTTAGACTGGGGCATGTGGGTCATCTACAGAACTGCGTATGGGACTTTGTGTATGGGAATATTATGCTGCAGCATGCCCCTAAAACTGTGCTTCTGTGTAAGAGAAAGAAATCTTACCTTAGTACAGAGAGAACAGATAGCCTTCCCAGAGCTTCTCTGTGAATGCAAATACTTCCCAACAAAACATTCTTTCTCCGGGGTTTAAACTGAATCAAGTTCTTCTCAACAGTAAAGCACCAGCAACATTTATTCTCTTCCTACCCTTAGAAGCTTTTCCATGTGCAAAAGTAACCTGCCTGTGAGGTTCTTGGTATACCTGAGAAGGAGCTGATAGCAGGCAAATCCTTGCAGCTCAGTGTGGTCACTTAGCTTGGTGCATTTTGTTTTCTTAATGCCCAGAGTTTAAACCCCAGTGTTTCTTGGGGTAGTCAAATGTGGAAACGTTATTAGGCACATCAAACTTAATGAATAGTTTTGTGAGAGCACGTCATGGTCAATTATTTATGAATAAGGGGATATAATAAAAAAAAGTAGTCTATTCTATATTTTTATCCTTTTTTTTTTTTTTCTTTTTTGGTACAATAATAAATCTATGAGGGTTACTGTCTTCATTTGCAAGTTTCATTCCTAGATGCAGGTGGCTAATATCGTTTGGGGAAGTTGCACCCTAATGTTTTAAGTAGTTGAGAATGAGTCATTTTAATATGTGGGTTAGTATTTATGCATGAGGGTGGTCAAAGGCTTCTAAAAGGCTTTTGTAGGCAAAATCTTCACTTGCTTATTTCATCTGAAACAAACAGTTGTCACACTGAGGTAGCAGACTCAGAAGTGTGTGTTACACTGCCATTACACAAGCTGGCTTTCACAGCTGTGCAGATGAGAACAGTGGTATGTAGCAGAGCAGAAATTCAATTTTCCAGTGTGCAAGATATTCTTAAAACATGGTGCCTCTACACACACCTTCTGGCCAGTGTTCATTTTCCCCATGAGCAGAACTCCCCTTGCTGTATTTCATACACTGCCAGCAAGAAGCACTGCAGAAGCTGCTCTCTACCTCAGTCCTGCCAACTCGGTGCCCATTCACTTGAGAGATATTTGGTACATGCTCTGTGTGCTCGTTGAATGCGATAAGTGAAATACTGTAATTGTGCAGCAATTGGAACTGGGGATTCAATAGCCTGGTAGTCCTCACTTTGTGCCATCTCCCACCTATATCTAGAGTGTTGTGCATTAACCTATCAGATGTTTTAGTAGCAAACTGGTTTCATGCAGTTTAGGTATTTTACAGACTGCAAAAGGACTGTGAAATTGTGTGTTATTTAATTCAGCTTTTCTTTCCTTTCTTCTCTTTTATGTATGTGTAGAAGTGCAAATCTGAAAAAAAATGTAATGAAATAATCACTTACTGCCTGTAAAAGTAGTGCTTCACTGTATTGTCTAATCTGATAAGAACCTGAAGGAAGTCACATATAATGTCATCAGTGGTGAATGTTCTGCTGCCTGTCTTTTAAACCTGCCTTGTTCTGTTTATTGACATCCAACACAGTCTGAGCAGGAGCGGACCATATGTACATGAGGAGCCTAGTGTCATTCTGTATATTAACAGTCATGAGTCAAGCTGTCCCAGTCTCACATGGAATTCAAAGGCAGAGGTTCTTACTGGTTTTCTGAGAGAAGGGTTGTACAATGAAGTTTACAAAGAGACAACATTCCTCTCCAAGAAACAACTACTCCAGTTTTTGTGTTCTCACCTTGCACCCTTTGCATTTCCCTACTGCCTTCATTCTTCTCATAAAAATCACCCAATTGGCAGGAGCATAAAAGCACTTTAACATCAGCATGTTTTTGCTGGTGCAGGACTACATGAAGGCAGATCTCTCACAGATTAGGAATCAGATTGCTTGCATCTGCTGCTGTCTCTTTTTTTTCTTTTTTGCTTGTGTGACTCTGGCAATGCCCACATGCCTCCTGGGTGAAAGGGATGTGATACTGCCTTTTTCCCATGGCAGAGTGTGTTTTTTAGAATCTGCCATTGTTGCTGTCCTACAACTGTTTTTCTTCTCTTATGGAAAAGCAAGCCCCTACACTCTCTAACAATTAGGAGCAGAAAGCAAAATAATTGTAAACCAACACCTTGCCCTTTCTTACCTATACTTCTTTAGTTCATGGAGAGGACTGTTGTACTGAATTTTTCTTGACACAGGCTGATAAAAAGTCTGTTGAAGCCAGCAGTGCCACTTTATTGCTGTCTGCAGGTTTGGGGTTGGGATCCCAAGCCTGGCACAAATCAGGTCAATGTGCAACATACAGATCTGTATACAGTTTACTACAGCTTCAAGGATCAGACCATGATTGAGCAAAAGGAAATCATCTCAGAAAATGTTGGTTGTCAGTGGGTAGGTTTTTTAATTATTTTTTAAAAAAAACTTTTAGAAAGAAAATATTCAGTAATTGCAGAATAAATAAAGCCAGGATTTTGTTTGCACTGTAATGTTGTCTTTGTTTATTTAAGTGATTGTATGATATTTTTTCCAGTGAAGGAATATTCTTCCCAGACGTTTTAATGTACATTGAAAATGCAGTGTGTTGCGGTGTGTAGTATTGAATATGGGTGGACGATCTCGTAGTGATCATGCCTATATAGCACATTAAAAGTTTATTTTAAAAAAATCATAAACATCTCCAATTTCTTCCTGTAATTGTCAATGTGTACTCAGATTGTTTTGAACAGAACAGTTGAATTGGCTTTTCAAAACATCTTGTATTTGCATGTCTTAACGGTGTACTAAATATTATTGCTGGGCTATAGAAAATCAGATGCCTTGGTTCTGCCCTGACTAATTCTTTGGACAGTGTGTATCTTTGCAAGGATGCAACAAAAGCAGCACAGGTGCATGTATGAATGATGTTGCTGTCTAATTGCTGGAGATGCTCACAGAATCCAGTTTATTATTGCTTATTCTGTGTAAATACTGCTGAATCATCTTTTGCAGTCTTTAAAAGAGGTGCTCATTAGGCCTCTGTTTTGGTGAGTATTTCAGCACGGTGAAGACGCCTGAGCATCTGTACGTTGGGAATGGAAGTTTTGTTGGCCAGTACTGCACCTTGCGTTTCCTTCCATAACTGGGAAAATTTTTAAGATTTGTCTGAGTACAGCCTTCTGTGGAGGCTGTAGTTACCCAGAGATACAAAACACACAGTTTCTCAAAGAACTTGGCCTGTGTCCATGTTCTGAGGAAAAACAGTTGGAGAATGACATATTTATGTACTGTTTATCTATATTGCAATGAGGTTCAGGGTTTGCCCTTTCTCTTGCTGTCATTCTGCAGGTTGTCAATGCAAATACTGTTTGCATACTGATGGCAACATCAGTAGTAGCTGCAAATGCCACCTTTCATCCAAAGTGTGACTCCATGTTCACCTTTCTGATTACTCTCTGGGGAAACCCTTCCTCAATAGCTGGATGGCAGGGGAGAGCCTGCCTTAATCCTCCACTGCTGCTGCCATTTATTCATGCTGACCTTGAGTTGGGGCGTTTCAAAGCTGTGCCACAGAAATGATACAGGTCTGTCTGAGCAAGAGGAGAGCAGACTGAGCAGTAGAGCATCTCCTGTTTTTATGTGGTGTTTCTCTTTTAATAATGTGGAACGATCACACTACTAAATACTACAGATTGCTTCTTTTTCATTATTCTGGGTTTAGTCTCTTGTGAGAAGGGAAGGATATCACAGCAGAATAGTTGCTGGACCCTGTAGTTAGTTCAGTTCTTTCTCACGTGTCTTACACTGTCTTTGTGTTTCACTTACTAATACTAGCAATTCCAAGACAGAAGCACAGTAGCTTAATTGCAGCTTTGCAGAGCAGCTTTGGGAGATTGATAATGATTTAGAGATGACACCTCCCTGTCATCATTTTGTCAGCAGAAAGTTGTTGCTAGCATGTCAGCTAGAAGTCAACATCCACAAAGCCTGTAGATAAAGAGTTTATTTAAGGTAAATCCAGTGACTCTCTTAGGTCTGTCTGCCAGACATCCTGGACTAGTTCTCTTTCTCTTCCAATCATAGAATGACAGAATGGCTTGGGTTGGAACAGACGTCAGGGATTATCGAGTTCCAACACCCTCACACAGGCAGGCTTGACAACCACTAGATCAAGTACTTATCAGGCTGCCCAGCGCCCCATTCAGTCTGGCCTTAAACATCTCCAGGAATGGGACATCCACAACCTCTCTGGATAACATATTCCAGCACCTCACCACTCTCTAAGCAAAAAACTTCCTCCTAAATCTTCCTTCTTGTAGTTTAAAGCAATTTTTCTTTGTCCTACCCGTGTGTTTGAGAGGACCATAATTGTTAGTAAACTGGAGGGAAATTTAGAGGGAGTTTGACAGTAAGGAATGGGCCAGCATAAGCCTCCTGAAGTTCAGAAGAGACAGTTCCATGTTTTGATGCAGTTACCTCTTGCAAGAGGACAGACTGGAGGATGATCAGTGGGAAAAGAGTGAACAAGGAGCTGAACAGGAAGGAGGTGCAGAGCACTGGTGAGAATGTATCTCAAGACGAAGTCTCAAGCTGAAGCAAGTCTATAGTCTATGTTAGTCCACAAAAGTAGTCTAGGGTTCAGACCTCATAATGTAAGAGGACAGGCTGAAGGAACCAGGTATGTTGAGTTGGAAGAAGAGAAGGTGGAAGGGTTCAGGGGTCTAGGTTCTGGGCCTACATGGAGAGGAATGTTGCTGCTACATCTTATTTGGTACTATGTGTCCTCTCAAGCTGCTGATGGATTGAGCCTTCTCACCTGCATTGCTGTCCAGTTTTCTCGGGAAACAGCAGAAGTTTCCATGGAGTCCTCTGATGATGTTCCCAAGTATTGCAAAGTCTTTGAGAGGGACTGGGTGTAAAACGGGTGCAATTTGAGGGTGACTAAAATATTAAATGCTATGAAAGTCAGAAATGTGTCATGGGGAAGGTGTGAGGCACCTTTAAAAAGGACACACAGAGTTCAGTGAGGCAAGATGTAATTGTTAGATGCTGAGAGAGTTTGGGTGCACTGATCAGGTATTCTCCACCCAGTCTGTTACAGGTATTGTCCAGAGTCACTCAAGAGAGACTTGGGAGAGACCCCAAATGTACCTCAAAAAGCCCCTACGGAGAAATGAAGGGGACCCTCATGTGCCCATGATGTAGTTCCAGCATGGATGCACCTGTAATCTTTCCCATGTGGTTTCCCCTATGGGGAAAGAAAATTGTCTCTGTGAGACAGATCCTGGTTGCTGACTCAACATCCTTGCTTCTTGCAGCCTGTCTTGGTATCACTCAGCTCCCATTTCATTTTCTCTTGTTGCCTTCTCTTGTTGCTCCTTGACATCTGCAATATGCATTTATGTGACCAAGACAAGAATATCACTGAGAAATCACCTGCAAACCAACTGCACACAGCTGCACACAGAAATACTTACTGCCTCAGTCATCTCAGTATTTCATATAGCTGGGATACCAGAGACTTTCCAGCACCATTCAAAACTATTACAACATAATATTTAGCTTCTATAAAGGTTTGCACAGCTCTTCATTATAGTGGTTGTGACAGAGACATCTGGGATAGTGTAGATTAATCTGATGGAGAAATAATTAATTCCTAATTACTAGTATCAATTAGACTTTTGATTAAACAAGAAGTAACCACTGATGACCCATAAAGGGACAATCTGCAGAAGCATGACATCACTAAAACTCAAGATTTTAAAGTAGATGATCTACAGAAAATTCAAGGAACATATAAAAAACAACCCACAAAGTCAATAGCTCAATGGTTTTGCCAACATTGGCATAAAAGGGTGTGAAGAGTATCCCTATTTACAAAAGCAAGAGATGATTTCAATCTTAGTCAGTCTTAACACAAGAAATGCCTCAGAAAGCAAGCTTTAAGCCAAATACAAAGAAGGGTTCAAACATCGTGGTACCTCACCCTCCAAACCTTATGGACTTTAGCTATCAAAGGGGTGAAAAGGGATCCTTTATTAATATTATTAAGATCAGGGCAATGAACATACAGTTTGTTGGTGAGGCCCAAATGAATTGCAGGATGCATTGTAACAAGCACCAATAATAAACCACTGCATCAGGATGAAGTCCAAGGTGATGAGCTGATGAGCCTATTCCATAGGACATTCCTGCTGCATCCCCATTTGCGAATTGTATGGTAAGAAGCCACAGGGATATATGCAACTACACCAGAATTTACCTGTGAGAACCCTCTTTTGCAAGAGCTCTGACAGACCATTGTAGACAGTCGCATGAGAACTAAATCCTGACCCTCCCATTCACAGGGAGTAGGTGGTTTACCTTAATCTAAATCAGTGGTTTAACAAAAGTCAGCAAAGTCAGTGGGCTAATTTAAACATCAAAAAATGATACCGCTAAATAATAATCTCTTAATCAAAGTGAGAATGAATGAGACAAGTAGAACAAATCATAGTGGAATCATAGAATGGCTTTAGGTTGAAGGGGACTTAAAGATCATGAAGTTCCAACCCCATGCCATGAGCACGGCTGCCCCCCACCAGCTCAGCTGCCCAGGGCCCCATCCAACCTGGCCTTGAGCACCTCCAGGATGGAGTACCCACAGCTTCTCTGGGCAGCTGTGCCATGGCCTCACTGCCCTTTAAGGAAAGAACATCCTCCTAACTCCCCATTTTCAATCTAAAGCCATTCCCCCATGTACAGTCACTATCTGTTTCTACCTGTAAAAAGTTGGTCCCCCTCCTGCTTAAAATCTCCCTTTAAATACTGGAAGGCTGCAAGAGAAGGACTTTGTCCCACCCTCTGAGTCATACTGAACAATAAATTAACAACTGATTTCTTCATAGATAGTGGAGAAAACCATTCATGATTAAGATAGAATAATGTCCTGTATTTAGGGCTTCAAAACAACACATTTAGTGCTCAACCGAAATATCAAATGTTATTAGGAGACCTAAATATACTGGATGTGAATATTTGAAAAACAAAAGTGGGATAAAGAGAAGTACGAAATGGGCTATCAGAATTACTGATAAAAAAAACCGTGCCAGTGTTGTCCATAATAAATCTTTTACAAGCTGCCTTGATTCACAGAATCATAGAATGGCCTGGGTTGAAAAGGACCACAATGATCATCCAATTTCAATCCCCTGCTGTGTGCAGGGTCGCCAACCACCAGACTAGGCTGCCCAGAGTCACATCCAGCCCAACCTTGAATGCCTCCAGGCCAGGATGCAGTGCTGCAAATGGAGCCTTACAACACTGAGTAGAGGAGGACAATCACCTCCCTCTCCCTGCTGGCCACCCCTTTTTTAATGCAACCCAGAACACAGTTGACCTTCTGGGCTGCAAGAGCACACTGCTGGCTCATGTCCAGCTTCTCATCTGTCAGGACCCCCAAGTCTTTCTCTGCGGGGCTGCTCTCAAGGGGTTCTTCCCCCAGCCTGTATAAACACCTGGGACTGCCTCTGTCCAAGTGCAGCACCTTGCTTTTGGCCTTGTGAACTTCATTACCTTCTGGTAAAACTTTATTGTGATATATTGCTAATATTTTAACAGGAGGTTTCACTGAAGAATTAGTCTACAAAGTCTATAAAGTCACACACAAAGTTGGGAATATTTAACCAGATTAGGACTGGGAATATCACATGAAAAA